CCCTCATCATCGACTGCAAGGCCAAATCGCTTCGGAAAGAAGACAATGCTCTGAGTTTGGTGGGATCAGGAAGGTGTGGTGTATTATGAGCTTCTAAAACCAGGTGAAACTATTAATACTGATCGCTACCGACAACAAATAATCAATTTGAACCACACTTTGATCGTGAAACGACCAGAATATGCCAGAAGACACGGCAAAGTAATTTTGCTTCATGGTAATGCACCAGCACGCACTTCAAAACCAGTTAAAGACATGTTAAAATATCTTGCCTTGGAAGTATTAACCCACCCGCTGTATTCACCAGACTTTGCTCCTTCAGATTACCATTTGTTCCGATCAATGGCACACGCACTTTCTGAGCAGCACTTCAAAACCTACGAAGAAGTGGAAAATTGGGTCTCTGAATGGTTTGCCTGAAAATAAGAAAAGTTCTATTGGGACGGTATCCACAAATTACCTGAAAGATGGGGGAAATGTGTAGCTAGCGATGGATATTACTTTGAATAAAGCACTTTTGATGTTTCTCTTGAAGTTAATCGTGTTTTCTTTGATTACAAAATCCGCTGTATTAACTGATACACCTGGTACATAGCTACCTCCCTCACTTTGGAGACTTTTTATATATTGTAAAATCTTATTTGTGATAGCTTTAAATTATCCTGATTTTCAGATGCAATTTTCTGTAGTGTAAGGCAAAAAAGAATTTAATGGAAGTGATGCCAAAAAGTTATTTCTGTATATCTGACATAGAGCACTTACCTCCACTGTCAAAAAAGCCTGGATTTGGAGTGGAATGAGGTGGAAAATGAGCGTCTCTGTTCTTTGCCCCTTTAAGAATAATCTTGTTACCTGCACAGACTAAAATATCTGGCACAAAAGCATTCTTATGTAATATCTGATGATGTAAGCCTCTCCCTCCCCCAAACCTGTTTAAAAGTCAATTATAACCTGACAAACTAGACTTCTGTAACATCTTATTGTTAAGTCTTTGTGAAACCACCAAATCCCAAAGAAATGTTAACTGGTATGCAATTGTACTTCAGATTTTGTGAGGAATTCATAAACAAAGGTGGCTGAGTGGATCAGTCAACTTTAGAACTGTGAACAGACTTCTAACTAAAACCAGAATGAATTTGGCTCTTGTAGCTCAGAAATGAGTCAGAGCTACCCACAATAACCTAATAAAAACCCAGGTTCATCCAAAATGTTCCTCAGTGAATGAAAATGGGCTTTTTGTGGAAACTGACAATACCCACATAATTTCAAGCAATTCTTTCACATGTAGGCTAAAGATTTATGTATCTCATGCTTACACCAGTGACTAACATTGAATTTCACATGATACGTGGGCAACTATAGATCTCCTTGCAGAGGATGAAGTTTTTGGCTCACTCTTGGAAATGGGCAGGAGGGGTTTGGTCCTGGAGACATCATCATCAGTAATTGCCTGGATGCTGCACTAATCTGTAAAAGACAGTTATTCTGTTAAACTGTATTTAATTTGGATTTTAGATACAGAATGCTAAATTTAAACAACACCAGATTTTTCTGTGTTTTCACTTCATATCATGTAGAAGATGCAAAAGCCTTCTCAGCTAGGAAACCATGTGTATTTTACATTGAATTATCAGTCCATTTTGATGAATTTTTGAGGAAGATAAACTGATGTAGTAAACCAGCTGGTGAAAAAGAGCTAACGCAGAGAACTAGTAAAAGACAAAAATAATAGCTACAAAGTACGGAGTCACTGCTAGGCTGACTAAGAGGGTTGGAAATGAGGACTTGAAAGAGACCAACAAACTTAGTGTCAGGGTTGGTGTCTTATTTAGTTACTATTTCAATTAAGAGGAGTACACAGATTAGTATAAATACTATATTTATTAAATATCTTTACAGTTTATTTAAATGTATTTACAGAACTATTCCTGCATAAGTTATATTTCAGACATCCAATTCAGGTCATTGCCTTTTGGGTAAGACAAATAATGATAGTCTCAACAGAAAAAAGCAGCTCATTAGTATATATAAATTCAAACTTGCTTCATTTTTTAGCCATCTTTGCCACAAACTACCTGCTAACCGTTAAAATTTTGACATTGACACTGCCAATTTTTAGTTGAGAAGTTCAATTTTACAAATATTTTTTAATGAATAAAATTCAAATGTTTTGTTTCATATTTTCAGTTTTATAAGCAGATTTCGTTTTTTTGTTTGATATTGTAAAATTTGTTAAATGCAAAAATGTGATTGTTTCCAGGGAAATTTGATGCTGTAGCTTCTACCAAAGATAGCTGGTATAAGGTGACAAGGAACCAAGAATTTATTCCAAAGTACAAACACTTATAGTTCTAGTCAATCTTGTTTACAATCTCCAAAACTCTCAAAAACGGACTCAGTAAATTCCCACAATTCCTGCCTTGTTACTTGATGTGGTAGGATGGTGGTACTGAAGGTGGTACTGAAGGCTACTGTTCTATCCAAAAAACAAATGTAGCTGATAGGAGAGACACTCCCATCATGCAAAGCTTGAAATCTAGTTGCTAATCTAGATACAGCCCAACCCCCAGACATACACACCTGGAATGGATTCTTTTGTGATTTAGTACCCATCGACCATGTCAAGCCAGTACAGTAATTTAGGACAAATAATTTTCCCCTTCATTCCTTCTTTCACTTTTTAAGAGCCTAGGGCTCTACTGCATATTCGTTCGGTAAATATTTTTTGTGCGCAGGCAGCTTAAGTTCACAGGAAGAAATAAGGTTCTGATATGTTTAGAGTGCACATTTTAAAACAGAACAAAATAAAAATTTCAAGCATGTGATAAAAATATTGATTTTTTATAATACAGTATTGCTTTATAAATATAGATGGAAAAGCTATAAACTTTACTGGTCTTTGGTGCATCCAGAGAGAGATAATTTGCCTTTTGTAAATTAGAAATCCAAATTCTCTTTTGTTATAAAAGTCCATTACATGAGGCAAATGTGTGTGTGTGTGTCTTTTTTATACTGCTTGATTTAAAATACAATTAACACACACATCAAGTTCAGAATCAGACCCACCAAGTGGCATATTTCAGTCATACCCCACAGAGACTTGGGTCCTGTGACTGGAAAATTCCAGCATGGGTCCAACAGCCTCTAACCACCGAGAGTGGAAGGAGAGTTACTTGATAAGCAGCACTCCAACTGACCACTGGCAGCCAAAAAATTAAGTGCATAACACAAAAAGGACAGGGAAAAGAGAAAATATTTTGTATTACTAAATTTACAGTCCAGGTCCAAAAGTTAGTTCCACGGTGAAACTTGATTCTTGTCCCATTAAATTCAACATCACTGGAACAAACATACTGTAAATTTCTAACAATAATTTCTCAAAAAAGATAAGCTGATAAAGTAAGTTGTATTAAAATACCACCAATCTAACTTTACAAAGATTGTGTTTGATGGGTTAAATGAGAGCAAAGCCAGTGACTTAATCAGCACTGCTCTACCAGGAATCAAGTCTAGGCATTGGAAAATTAATGCAAAATATATCCAGATCATAGGCTATGTACCTCTGACCAGAAATAATTAGAAATCCAATAAAAGAACTAATGTCATCAGCCCAAGTATAAATGTACTTCTTTCAACAAAACCCTTCTGGATGCAACTTTCTTTACTTTTTAAAATACACAGAGACTGCAAATAGTTTGTGCAAAATAAATACCCTGCCACTTGCCACTCTGGCTTCTGTGTTTTATCACAGCACAATGGGTTCTCATTACTTAAACAGTCTCCCTCCACCCCCATCTCATCTACCAAAGAACTGTTTTGTCAAGTTAGGGTAGTTAAGGCATTCTGACATGTAATTAAAGGTGATTCAAAATAGATATCTAACATTATGCCAATTTAGGAATAGTAGATAAATTACTGAACGGCTTACAAATGAATAACTCATTCTTATTATAAATGAAATGCCTGTTACAAGCATGATGCATTGAAATATAGTAATGACATGTACATGGTACATGTTAAACAATTTTAAATAAAACAAAAGCTTGACAGTTACTCAAATATACAGTACAAATTCACAAAAACAAAATCTTTTAAAACAAGTTGAGGTAACCTCAAACATAAATTTTAATGCAATAAACCAGGGAGTATGTATCTCCTTTAGAGAAAGAGACTTTCTATATTCTCCTCAAGTAGATTCTCATCAGGTTTAATTGCATTCTCATCTATACACCAATGTTACCTGACTTATATATAAAACATGGCTTTAATTTAAGGATTGCTAACTATATTTTTCTACCACCAAGTTAATGAAGAAAAAAGACTGACCCAAAAATATATATCTTTACAGCAGTTGACTTATACACAAACCTTAAAAATAAGTTTGAACTTGCAGATAATGGGAAAACTGAATGTGGGATAGTTTTATAAGGAAACTATACACTGCAAGATGGCTATTTGGAAACTGTAAACATTAAGCTTGATTCAGAAACCCCTAAATTTCTGTGTAGGGCAAATGCAAATGTCAGATCATCAATAGTTTTCCTCATGGACTCTTGTACTGCTGCTACTGCCCACAGTGCTCCTTCCACATGGACCCCCTGAATTTGGTGCATGCTCTATAGCAGCGGTTCTCAACCTGTGGGTTGCGACCATCGGAAAAACACATATAGCATATCAGATATTTACATTACGATTCATAACAGTAGCAAAATTACAGTTATGAAGTAGCAACAAAAATAATTTTATGGTCGGGGGGGGGGTCACCACAACATGAGGAACTGTATTAAAGGGTCACGCAGTTAGGAAGGTTGAGAACCACTGCTCTATAGAAAGCAAGGCTACTAAAGGGTCTGAGTGAGACTATGAGTAGCATGACCCCCAAAATCCAAATTAACAGCTGTCCATTCTCAACCCATTAGGCCGATGGGCCTAGAGCTCCCACACAGGGGCATCATGTCAGACAGCTGGGAGGATTTCAGCCATAACATTAAATTCCTTGGCTTTGAGGAGTTCTAAAATCTTGAGTAACATTCCCATTAAAATTTTGGTAAAGAGTCTCCCTACTCCTCCTGCAGTTCAGGCCACCAGCCTGTAACTTGGATGAATCAATAAACTGCCAAAACTTTGATCACAGGATCACAATTAAGCATCTTTTAAAAACATGAAACGTTTGCATCCATAGAATTAAACTGAAATTTTCTTCCAATTTGTAAGAAAAAAAGCTCCTGGATCAAGATTTCATAATTCAGAGCAATGTTTTAGAGCAGAATTATAAGCCCCTGAAAAATAGGAGTTTATAATGAAAACACAAAGCCACACCCAATCATCATAACAAAGACTGTATAGTACACGTGTAACATTTCTACATTTCTGTTGATGAATAATATATGTTTCTAGGAGATGTACCATAACATAGAATTTGTGTTAGACTTTTACACACTGTAATTTTGAATTCACTTTACCAACATTACTCATTTTCTTCAATACTTCAAGCATTTTTGAAAAGTAATAGCCATTTTAGCTTTGAAAACCTCCCATCCCATCATGGAAAGGACAATGAGAAGTGAAGGCCAATCTTCAAATCTTGATTCTCTTCAAAGTTGCTGGCAGATATGAGCTAGTGAACGACAGTAGTGGTTCTTAACAAAGATCTCAATGGGGTCTCAAAAAGACAGGCAAAAAGGCTTACATCACTGGCCATTGAGATCAGTGGCAAAGAAACGTGGTCCTGCCAGCAGGATCAGTACACACGGCTGGGGAAAATTTGGGATGATGGAAGGAAAGGCAGAAATTGACACCTAGGTGTGTCAGTCTGTATACTCAGCCACTATGGAAAGAAGGACGGTGATGTCATCTGGCTTTCCACCTAAAACAAAAATGAAAATGTGGTCATGTATCTTAAAAAGAAAAGTCAATCAAAACTGTAAGCCTAAGAAAGTTCTAGGAGACAAATGCTTGCAATTCATGAAGGTTTGATTTGTCAATATATTTTAGTAGAGGAAAGAAAAAAATATTTGATAAAGAGAAATAAAGCCCAGCCGGTGTGGCTCAGTGGTTGAGCGTCATCCTCTGAACCAGGAGGTCACAGTTCGATTCTTGGTCAGGGCACATGCCCGGATTGAGGGCTCGATCCCCAGTGGTGGGGCATGCAGGAGACAGCCGGTTCATGATTCTCTCTCATCATTGATGTTTCTATCTCTCTCTCCCTCTTCCTTCCTCTCTGAAATCAATAAAAATATATATTTTTTAATAAAAGAGAAGAATGAAAAAACCAAGAAATTACATGTAACTTAACTGACGCTTAAAAAATCCTTCCATGCTCTTTAAAACAGCAGTTTTGATAAAATGGCCACTACCTCCTGTTTACAGCAATCACAATAAAGAAAATCTGGTTAAGATAAATTCTGCCTGAAGCAGCAGCCATGTAGGTTGCTTGATAAAAAAACAACAACAACAAAACAAAACAAAAAAAAAACACACACACACAAAAAAACAGAAAAGATAAATTCTGCCTGACAAGAAAGTTACATGTTTCTATCCACAATCCTAATTTGGACAAACATACCCACTGTTTTGAAATTAGGAACAATCTTGTATTCTAATCTGCCAAACAGCTATGGCATGTGCTTTTTCCTATTTTAATATTTCCTGGAAGGCTAAGAAATGCTTTACATGTCATAATATTATACTAGCAAGAAACTGACCAACTGTACTAGTTCTGATATGTTACCACCAACACATCATCCCAGCTCCAAGACTGAGCTACTGGCCTGCTCCCAAAGTTACATATCACTTAGTAGATAGAAGGGTTCTTCAAGCAAGGACAGGTTAACATTACTTCCCTCTTCAGAACCTGCTGTGGCAATTTGGCAGGCAAATACTGTCAACGAGTCCCACAAAGCCAGAGGAAGGGAGAAGTGAAATGTCAGACCCATGAAGGGCAGAATGTTACACTGTTGGGAATGTCCAGTCCTTCCAGGCAGAGTTTGGAGGCCTCTTGGGCTGAGGTTCAAGCAGTGCAGTGGTGGCAATAAAGGGCTTCAGATTCCACCTGCCTCTGTAGCCTATGAAGTTCAGCTCTGAAGGGCGTCCTCTGTGAGGAAGACATGATGACATGCACTTGCTCTTGTCTTCCAGTGTTAAGGCCTAATGACCTAGCTCAAAGCCACCGCTCACAGCTAAGACAAGACATCTCAACAGTCCCACCCAAGTGCTCTTGTTTACCTCACCCCACAGCTTAGAATGTTCCCATCTTACTTGTCCCTATGACCTTCCTAAAGAATGCTTACCTCTCACATTCAGTCCGTTGTCACATGCAAACTGTGCAAAAGGTGACATATAATTTGGGTCATAGGCCAGCTCATGAGCTTGCTCAGCAATGCTTCTTGCCGTCTGTTGTATACTCTCATAATTTGAATTCTAAGATGAAGGATGAGGGAGTTATTTTTACCATAATGTCTCACATGATTTTTGTACTCAAGTATACTTACAAATAGCACTTTTTAAGACAGTAACATCCAATCAGTTTCTACCATTTACTTTTTTTTAAAAATATATTTTATTGATTTTTTACAGAGAGGAAGGGAGAGGGATAGAGAGTTAGAAACACTGATGAGAGAGAAACATCGATCAGCTGCCTCCCGCACACCCCCTACTGGGGATGTGCCTGCAAACAAGGTACATGCCCTTGACCAGAATCGAACCTGTGACCTTTCAGTCCACAGGCCAACACTCTATCCACTGAGCCAAACCGGTTAGGGCCACCATTTACATTTTATTCCAGTTAGAGAAGACAATCAACATTGCACCCTGACTAAAATGAATGAGCCCACCAGTGCTGCCTGCATACAATGTGAATCAGAAAGTTTTTGATAGGTGGCCTTGGGCCCTGAGGTTTGGGTTTTTATTTCTGCCTTTTCCCCCATTTGAAATTCTTAACGTATTTTTGCTAAAATAGGATGAGAATGAACGGGCAAATTTTTATAGCACTTTAGGGATGACCTCAAAAATTTCCTTGCTGCCCTAGCCGGTTTGGCTCAGTGGATTAAGTGCGTTGGCCTGCGAACCGAAGGGTCCCGGGTTCAATTCCAGTAAAGGGCACGTACTTCATACCTCGGTTGCAGGTTCCTCCCAGGCCCAGGCCCTGGTCAGAGCATGTGCAGGAGGTAACCAATCGATGTGTTTCTCTCAGATCAATGTTTCTCTCTGTCTTTCCCTCTCTCTTCCACTCTCTCTAAAAATCAATGGAAAAATATCCTCGGTGAGGATTGAAAAAAATAGTATTTTTTTCCCTTGCTTATAAATGCGCTCCTGGCCAACACCAGTTTGCTCTCCAAGAGCTGCCAGTTTCCCTACTGAAAATACCTTTAGAATTTTGTATCATTATGAAGATTCTTATTTAGCTGTATAATCTTGAGCCAATCCCTTACCCTTGCTACTTCAACTTCATCAGTAAAATGGAATGGGAAACGAGGTCCATTTTAGCTCTAACATCCTAAGATACAGAATGGTTTCAGTATAAATAATAATAGGCAAAATAATAATAATAATAATAGGCCTCTGCTTCAATGTTACCTCAGTGAGAGGCCTTCCCTGACCAATCTTTCTAAAACAGCAGCCTTCTCTATTCCCTATCCCTTTACCCTGCTTCTTATTTACCACAAACATTACAGGGTGGGGCAAAAGTAGATTTACAGCTGTTCGTATGCAAAATAATACAAGCCCTAGCTGGTTTGGCTCAGTGGATAGAGTGTCAGCCTGCGGACTAAAGGGTCCTGGGTTCAATTCCAGTCAAGGGACATACTTTGGTTGCAGGGTCCTTCCCAGCCTGGGCCCTGGTCAGGACTTGTGCAGGAGGCAACCAATCGATGTGTTTCTCTCACATCGATGTTTCTCTCTGTCCTTCTCTCTCTACTCTCCCTAAAAATCAATGGAAAAATATCCTTGGGTGAGGATTAACAACAACAAAATAATAATAATAATAATAATAATAATAATAATAAATTAAATAATACAAGAATAAACTGTTTCACGTACTCATAACTATAAACCTACTTTTGCCCCACCCTGTCTGTATATTATCTTTTTCTTTCTCTGTACTATCTACCTTCCTCCACTAGAATAGAAGTCCCAGAGGCCAGGGACTGTCATTTCTGCCCACCACCCTGTCACCACAGAGTATAGTACCACTACAGTAAGCACCAGGACTTTACTGAACCCCACAGATGAGGCCTGGTACTAAGGATTCTGTACTCCTGGTCTCAGTTAATTTTCACCATAACCCTATAAAACAGGGCCTTTTGTTCTCCCAATTTACAGGTGAGGAAAATATTGCTTAAAAGGTTTAAAAACTGCCCTAACCGGTTTGGCTCAATGGATAGAGCGTCGGCCGGTGGACTGAAGGGTCCCGGGTTCGATTCCGGTCAAGGGCATGGACCTTGGTTGCGGGCATGTCCCCAGTGGGGAGTGTACGGGAGGCAGCTGAATTGATGTTTCTCTCTCATCGAAGTTTCTAGCTCTCTCTCCCTCTCCCTTCCTCTCTGTGAAAGATCAATAAAATATATATATATTTTTTTTTAAAAATATATTTTATTGATTTTTTACAGAGAGGAAGGGAGAGAGACAGAGAGTTAGCAACATCGATGAGAGAGAAACATCGATCGGCTGCCTTCTGCACGCCCCGCAGTGGGGATGTGCCCGCACCGGTTTTGGCAATAAAATATATTTTTTAAAAAAGATTTAAAAACTTAGAGTTACAGTGGTTAGCGATAAAAGCATGAGAAAAGGCTAACTTTTCCCAGAGTGACAATGTTTACAAAGCCAGAAGAATATGGAAACACTGATTTTCACTTTCTTCCATTCTCTGTATGGGTCAAAGCTGAACGGTTTTATTACTGGTGACAGCTCAGATCACATCAAGGCCCTTAACTGCCTGATGCCCTTGACTGCTGCCTTGGCTGGCTCTGGTATGATGACTTCCTATCTTTCCCAGCCTCAACACCTGCTGGGTTTGTTATGAGACTAAAACGAGAAAAGGACCAGGAGGTAACACTATTTTTTTTTTTTTCTGTTGAAATGTTTTATTTTATTTTTTATTAGTTAAGGTATTAC